TAACTACCAGAATTTCAACTGAAATGGTTTTCGTGTGTTTATATCCAAACCATGATTAATAATTCAAATTTAATAATGGAAATTTTTAGATTTTAAATCATGAGAGAGAGTTATGCGCTGATAGAAGTTCTAATTGCGTGCGTAGACTGCGGTGTCGGCGTGGGCGGAGGACGTGAACCTGTCGCTGAACGCCATCGTGGCGCTGTCGGAAGCCATGACCGAGTCTCTGTCGCGCGTCCGCAGGGTCGTGCTCGACGACAACCTGCTCGACTGCGCCGACTGCGGCATGCCGAGGTGAGAAACGCCCACGCTTCTATCCTCCTAAGTCGAGCGGCGGGAGCGTACACGATGTGAGCTGTCAAATTTAGAACTTGGCAAGGCCCTAACCTCCATAATAAAATAAGCTACGGGTTCCTTTTCTCAATAAAATATTTACATTGCTAATGCTCCAATGTACTAGGTTGCATCATTTATCATCGTGTGATACAAATATTTTAATACATTATTTTATAAATAACAATTGAGGGGTTCCTAAGAAGAAGTCAAAAAATCCATATTTTGACGTATTTCACCAAGTTATTCCCTACTTCAGGCGCTATCTGTAGAGAAATTTCCCTTCGGAAAAGTGCCATACACATTAAAATATATAAGGCGAGGAAAAATCATAAACCATTAATTCGCGTGTCCACGCTATGACATTCCCGGCTCGTCCTGAAAAATCTTGATATTGGACTAGTGTGGTTCTTGTAAGGAACACTTCAATTTCTGAGATACCACTCTTTTCATTTGCACAACGGAAATGGGCTGGGTTTCGTCGGTGGCATGTGGGCGCGATGGGTGGTGCAGCCAGTGCGCATGGCGAGCGCGGAGGCGTTACGCTGAACGTCGCCGCCGGAAAGTGTCCAATATAATGCAACCCGATTTAGTCCATTGAAATTCAATTGGTTACAAATCAATTCGATCTAACTCAAGTTCCGACCCTCCTTATCTAGCGAGAAAAATATCATATCAGTCACACCCTTGTTCATCCCTTCGAGTCATGTAAGTTGGAACTTCTCTAATAGGATACTTCCTTCTCATTCGCTGACGAACCCTTCTTGAAACCATTTGCAAAGCGAAAGTGCTTAGCCTCCCTGCCTCAAAGTGAACTATGTACCATATAATTCATCACGATTTAATCTAATCAATCAAATCCAATTCAATAAATTTCAATTCAATACATCTCAGTCCAACTCGATTGAATCCCATGCCACTTCTGACCATCACATCCAGCCAGATAAAGACAAATCCAGGCACACCATTTCCCATCTCTTCCAGACCATTGCAGGTATTGGTAAAACCTCCTACAATGGATAGCTTTTTGATACATTGCGGTTCCCTGCTTGAAGCCTCTTGCAAAGCGAGAGTGCTTAGCTTCGTGGTTTGGCAGCTGTGCGCGTCGGAGAGGTGGCGCGTGACCAAGGCGGAGGCGTTGCGATGCACGTCATCGCCGCAAGATAAACTGTGTCCAATCTAATTCAACACGATTTAATGCACTTCAGTATAATCATCAAATTCAATGCAATCCACTTCAATTCAATACAGTTCGATAGAATACAGTTATTCGAACGTGGTCAATTCAATCCCATTCAAGCTGTGACTTTCCCTTCCTAGCCTGAGAGATATCAATTCTGTCGAACCCTTTTTATGTCTTCCCTCCCACAACACTGTAATGGTAGGCATCGCTCTTGGATCCACATCCTCCAAGCCATTTGCAGAGCGGGAGTGCTTAGCTTGGTGGTGAGGCAGGTGGGCGCGGTGAGCGCTGTAGTCGGGGCGGGTGGCCAACGCGGAGGTTCTACGCTGCTCGTCACCGCCCTCGCAGCGTGAACTATGTCCCATGTAATTCAACACGATTTAATCTTGTAATTCAGTCTAATCCTTCAATTTCAAGGCAATTCAATCCAATTCATTGAAGTCCATTTCAATCCAATTACTAAAACATGTTCAATTCAATCCCATTCAATCAGGGACATTCCCCATCCAGCCTCACAAATGAATCCAGGCGACCAAACCTTTATCTCTTTCTGCCCACAGCACTGTAACGGTTAGATCCGTTCTTGAATCCACATCCTTCAAGCAGCATGGATACGCTTCCTGCAATTCAACACGATATAATCTCCTAATCCTTCAATTTCAGGGCAATTCAATTCAATTCAATGGCGTCCATTTCATTCCAATTATTAAAACATTATCAATTCAATCCCATTCATTCGGAGACTTTCTCTATTTAGCGTGATAAATCAATCCAGTCAAGTAAGCCTTTATCTCTTTCCACCCACTACACTGTAATGGTTAGATCCGTTCTTGGATCCACTTACTTCACCATACCTGAAGTCACTTGTAGATCGAAAGAGAGAGAAAGAGAGAGAAATAGAGAGAAAGAGAGAGAGAAAGAGAGAGAGAAAGAGAGAGAG